CGAGGAGGCCAACGTGGCTGGAGCAGATGAAGAGAAAGAAGAAGAATAGGGCGGATTCAGAGAATTAAAGGGGGTGCAGGTCAGCAGGCACTGGTAGGTCATTTGAGGATGTTGCCTTTCCCCTGAATAAAGCAGGAAGCCACTGGAGGTTTACTATGATTTGCCTTAAGTGTTACAGGATCTCCCTTGCTCTCATTGGGAACTCACTGAAGGGAGTTAGCGTGAAGCCTGGAAGACCAGTTTGCTGATAATTGCAGTTGTTCAGGCAAAAAGTGCTGGTGACTCAAACCCAATGGTATCAGTAGAGCTGATAAGAATAGTCAAATGCAGAAGAGATTCTGAAGGCAGAGCTGGAGGGATGTGCTCCTGCCCCAGATGTGGGCTGTGAGGGAATGAAGGACCTTCAAGTTACAGGGTCAAGACAGTGGTAAGCATAAAGTCGCTGTCATCTGATGGGGAAGGAAGGAGATGGGTGGAAAATGTGGGTCAGGAGGTGAGGTAGGAGGTGAAATTTAGGTTTGGACATGCAAATTGTGAAATATTCGTTAGACGCCTAAGTGGAGTTGGAAGCAAGCAGCTGAGTCTATGAGTTTGTAATTCAGGAGAGAAGACCGGACTCAAAGTATAAACTCTGCATATAAAGTCATGGGAATTGCTGTGATTGATTGTTGCTCTGTAATCTGATTTTTGCTTAAAAGCCAAAAGTTCCTATTTCTTATATGAAACTTTCTACATTATAAGAGAATTGACAGACTGCGTTTTCCAGAAGTATCTTGGATCCCACTGCTTTCCCAATGCCTTTCCCAGGACCTGCCCGCTCCAGCTGGAAACTCGTGCTATGTCTCAGTTCCAGCTAACTGAGCAAAATAATCACTCTGATCTTCCCCCAGGGAAACTGCGGAAGCCTTTCGGTTCTCCCCGATGCGATGGAGAGAACTGTGCTTGCCCGGGTGCCTGAAACTGGACTCGGGTTTAAATTCTTCGAAGAGTTGGCCCCTAGTCTTTCGACAGCTTGTAAACCATTTTCCATCTTTGAAGAGCGTCTCTGCTGTCATCCCTGCTGTGCTTCAGCCTTTAAGGGAAACTTTTGTCTCTTCATATTTCCTTGTGAATTACCCAGCACATCACAACCCAGCAGTGACGGCAGAACCATGTACCAGTGCAGGCTGGATGGCAGGCAGGGATGATGGCAGGGACCCTGTGAACACTCTTCTTGCCACTCCCTCTCTCACCGGGCTGTCCACGGCCTCAGCTAGCCATGGTCCTTCTCTTTTGGAAGAACGCTGATTTGCGGGAGGGGTATCAATTCTTACGTAAAATGTATATGTAAGTTTTGTCTCCATCGTATTGTTTTTTCTCCTTCCATCCCCAACTTTTGTCTGCCTTTGCGTCAGCTCTTTCCTTCACCTCCCTCGGTCCCACATGCTGCTGCTATATGGAGGCTGGCAGCTCCCAGTGCCTGTGCCTCCCCCTTCCCGCCCCAGGCTTCCCGGGCGCACTTTACAGCTCCTGCGCTCCTAAGGAGGGTGAAGGGAGCTTTCTTTGTTAGACATTGCACACCAAGAGATGGCACATCCACTCAGACCCAGTTATGTAGGAAATAATTTTAGGACTTTAGAGGACAGGGGCTCAGATTGACTATCTCCAAGCAGTTTGAGTTAAGCACCCTGCGTGCGAGACTGTGACTGTCCCCCTCAGTGCAGGCTTCTCACGTTGGTGGCTCTGCACTGCTCTCTTTCTGGGTTCCTGTCTTAAGTGCTCAGTTTATACCAAGTAGAGAGAAAAAGAAAACACCAGCTAAAATGAACTGCGTAAGGAATATGGAAATTATACCCATAAACCTGCCCTTTTCAATAAGCAAATTTGGGTTGTGCGTTTTTTATGCTGAGTGGCTAGCTCACAGATGAGCTCTTCTAATGACAGTGTGTACTGAGCCAGAGTGAACCCAGCCCGAGGCAGCCCTGGAAGCATCCGTTCAGTTTTTTGTCACTTTAGGAATATTAGGTTTTCTCATAAACAAGTATTCATTTTCCCTACTGGAATACAATGTTGGTTCTTTTGAGTGACTATAAAGATATGAATTTCTAGCGTACATTTTCATTGATAAACTGAGTTTATTAACACTTCAACGTAAAGGTCTGTGGGAGGCTTATTAAGGATGTACTCAAAGTGCCCAGATATTTCCATACTTCCCCGAGTCCTCCCCATGCACACCCGAGGGATTTGGCAATCGTGAGTTTTAAAATCCTCTAGAGCATGGGTTATACGGAAAATTTGTTTTTATTTCTTTCTGGGTTTATAGAATGCTGATTTATAAAATGTTAAGACTCTGCTAGGTGAAAGTAGCAGAATTCCAACTTGAGCTGGCCTGGAAAGATCTTGGGGTATCTCTCAGAATAGAATATAGATTAAATAACCAGCCATCAGAATGTTCAGGGTGCAACCAAATCTTGGTAACAGCAGCAACCAACCACACAAATACTGTCAGACCTCTCTCCATCGCTTGTTCCTCCTGCAGGCTGCACCCGGGTACACTCTCTCTCCCTCCCTCTCTCTATCCCTATCTCTGCCTCTGTCCCTATCATTTCTACCTCTCTCTCTCTCTCTCTCTCTCTCTCTATCTCTATCTCTATCTCTATCTCTATCTCTATCTCTATCTCTATCTCTATCTCTATCTCTATCTCTATCTCTATCTCTGTCTCTATCATCTCTGTCTCTATCATCTCTGTCTCTAATCTCTATCATCTCTATCTATCTCTATTTCTCTCTCTCTCACTGAAGATAAGTTTTCTTCCCATGGTTGAAACTTTGCCACTGAGAAATTCTGAGTTTTCTATTTTACAGCATCAGTTACCAAAAAGAGACTCATCTGAACTTTCTTGGTGACAAAAAGCAAAAGAATTATAAGATAGGAACCTATGGATCTGGCTTTGCTCAGCTTCCCATTTTTAAATCTGTGTGTGTGTGTGTGTGTGTGTGTGCTCGGGGTGGAGGAGTGAGAGGGATGGGGTGGGACAGGGTTTAGAGAGGGCATATGAAATCTTGACAGCTTTAGAGGAGAAACTATAGAGAAAAAAACTTCAAGAGAAGCAATATGTAGGAGGTGGGGGACATAAAAGGGCAAAGGCGTGGGGCAGGTGGTCATTCTTGGAGAGCTGCCAGGCGCCCCATCAGGGTGCACCCAGAGGCAGTGGCCCTTGCTGGATTTTGTAGAGGACACTGATGCTTCACGTTTATGTAACTTCCCACAGCACAAGGTTAGTGGGGGTGGGGACTGCAGTTCATCTGAGTGACAAGCTTGATTTCCTTTCCATCAAGACCAGGAGCTGGAGTAAAACACACAAAGGGTAGCATTCGGAGTAGGAAAGACACCACTTTTTTGGTTTATTTATTTATTGGTTGGATTTGTGAACATGTTCTGTAGCAAAATTACTAGGTCTTATTTTTATTCTTGTTCTTTAAGCCATAGCTGGGTACCAAGGACTTACCAATAAGCCCTTCCCAAACATAAGCCCTGTCAGCACAATTGAATGTTTGCTGTGCTGAGCAGAAAATTTCTAATAATATGGCTGAACATATGCAGGACTATTAGTTTCTGGGCTTTGAAACAGTCATTGCTGGAGGGTTTCCTACCTATATAGGACATTTAAGGTAATCACACTCTCAGTGGCTGCACAATAAATGCTTTTACTCTATTATACCACTTCTGTTACTTCACTGCTCACACCCTCTCCTTTTAAATTCATGGGATTTTTTTTCCCCTGTAAAGATGGTTTTTAAGATTTCAGTGTTTACCATTGCTTTTACTCTTAATTTGATTCATTGCAAATATTGAGCACTTGCCAGCTTACCTCTTAGTAGTAGCACAGTGTTCAGTATTGAGATATTAATCCATGTATGTAAAAGGCAAAGAGAATTACCCACAGGCCCCCTGTAGCAAACGTCTGAGCTGGGATTCAAACTCAGTATGTGTGACCCTAAAGTCCATGATCTCTGTCTAAAAAAAAGGAAAATTGCCTTCACTCCCATTAGCCCAAGAGACACATTTGTTTCCCTATCATTTTTGTAATGCAAAGTGTTTATTTTTTATTATTTTTATTTTGTTGCAGCCATGCTCTATAGCTTGAATTTCCACCGAATCCAGTCCCAGGCCATTATAACCCCATTTGCTAACATCCTCTGTACTAGCTTTATGATAGCATGTTAATTTTATGTACTGCAACTTCCCTAAGGAATTTTCTAATTTTGAACACTTATCTTGATTCATCATGACATAAATGTGAATAATGATAATTAGCATGCGTGATTCCCACATTTTAAATATATCCTAAAGATAGAGCTCTTTAAGTGTGATTGCTGGGTCAAATTATGTGAACGTTTCAGAGAGTTTTTAACGTGTATGGTGAAAATATTTTTTAGAAGAGTTACAGTGTTTTCAGTATAACTAGCAAAAGCATTGTATTAAAGGTGATTTTTTTTTTTTTTTTGCATGTTAAATGAGCAGGTACGTCTTTTCAAATTTAATGTTGCCCTTTAAAAATAGTTTAAAATAGATTCGTAGCCAATCCCAAATGGAGAAATATGGGGACAGTGACCACAATTATCTGTACCTTTCCCCTTTTCTTTAAAAATGCAAAACCTTTCCAACATGTAAAATTACAAACTGTGCACATTTTGTTCTGTGGAAAATGAAGAGCCTTACAGATTCTGAACACTGTGTAGTAACGTCAAGTCAATGAGGTTTTGCCCCTGTGTTGAAATCCTTAACTTAGTTGCCTAAGTCAGCTTGATACCTTCATTGCCCAATAATTCGACCCATCTCTTGTGGTAAACCATAGTATCATTTTGACAGATTGAAGACTATTTTAGGTAGAGGAGTATAGCAGACCAGCTAACCCTATCAATTCATGCAGTTAGATATGACGCCTTTGTTTTTCTCTCTATTTTAACTATCATCTGAATTTGATTTATTTTGATTGCTTTGCTTTATTTCCTATTAGGTGTTTGCCAAACTACTGTGAACATGGAGGAAGCTGTTCTCAGTCCTGGACTACCTTCTATTGTAACTGCAGTGACACCGGTTACATTGGCCCCACCTGCCATCACTGTGAGTAATTCATGGTTTATCCACAGTAGAATGGGCAAACATCCAGGAATACCATTATTACCTTCAGGATGTTGTCAGCATGGGGCAGGCACTTTTTACTCTTTCAGTCAACATGTGTTTCTTGAGATAATACAAATGTCGAACATTGTGGTGGTCATGGAGGGCACATGGATGTAAGCCATATTCTCATGGAGTATATGGTCTACCAGGAAGATGGACTGGAAATGGGAAATGTTGAGGTAGAGGCAAGGCAAGGTGCTATAGGTGCACAGAGGGGAGGTATTAAGTCAACTGTGTTGTCTTTGTGGGCTTAGTTATACTGTGATAAGCAACCCAGCATCTCAGTGGCCTAAGTAGCCAGCAGTTGTGCCATGCTCACCACACATAGACAGAGGGCCCTCTTTCACATTGTCTTCATTCTGGGGTGTTGACAGAGGCTCCATCATCTGAAAGTTTGCCATGGCATGAAGAAGGAAACACAGGGAAACATGTGCCAGTTTTAAAAATCTTCTACCTCTAAGTGGCAAACATTATTTCCACTCACATTCACATGGGCACACCTAAATTCAAGAGGGAAGGAGAGCTACCTTATCATGAGATCTGACAGCAGAACCAACATATTGGTGATAACATATGACCACATGTCAGTGTTTGGGCGGCTTTAAATAGAAAGAGTGAGCTGAACTTGCAGTGGGACTATGTTAGGGAAAAAAGCAAAGAAGAAACTGACTATGCAAGTAGTTTTGTTGCTGAAGGACTGGGTAGGTGGAATTTCTCCATCACTACTGGGAGTGAGGTTCTTGCGATATCTTGAGAAAAGGACTTTTCTAAGACTCACACTGAGAATGAGTGGTTTTTATTTGCGTGGAATTATATTTCTCAGTTTCCAAAGTCCCATTGTCTTTTAATGGGTCCTAGAAAATATGCAGCTGGGGGCTCATTAGATCTGAAATCACTGCTGGTGTCCAAAGTTTCTGTTCCATGGTGGAGTTGAGTCTGATGTAGCATCGGGCTATATTCAGTCCATCAGTACATTGTGTGGGTTGCACATGGTCATAAGTCATGTGGGCAGTGCAGCAGAGCATGATCCCTGCAACAGGAGTCCCAAGAGAGCAAGAGAGCTAAGAGCACAAGAGCAAAGAGAGAGAACTTTCTTTGTTCAGGAGTTATGTATCTCAGATTTTCTGCCCTTGCAGTGGCCACACCTATTTTGGCCACCGATCTGCTCCCAGGTGTGACTGATAGAAAAGCATCTTTCCACATCACCCAGACCTTACTAGGCATGAATCTATTGTCCAGTCCCTTCCCCCAGTGATCTGCAGGGAACAGACTTGGAGAATGTTATCTGCGGCTTCCTGGCAAAGCTGTATAAATGGCATGCCTGTATTATCTAGTCTCTCCCTTTCATTCCAGTTAAATAATAACCATGTTAGTGTAATGATATCAGTTTCACATGGCTGGAGAGTGCTGACAGTGAGGAGAAGCCTAGGACAGGAAGCAGGGAATGAGACAGGCTAGTACACACTAAGAATAAGGGGTGAAGGTGAAATGTCAGTGCATAGCATGAGCCTTGATTTCTATAGTTTTACAGTCTTCTTGGGGTCATCAAACAAAAATGCATGATGACATAGAGAAGGCTTGTCATTTAGAGAATTGTATGCCAAACTATGTGAAATAAACTCTAAGTGCAGTTGAGAAATACATAATCAGAAGGTGCTGGCATTAGTTGTGGGGAATTTTATGGAAAATGTGAAATTTAAAAATGATATAAAAGTTAGAGGAATGGGAAAAGGACCCTATAGAAAGATGTAAGAGCCATTCAAAGGCCGGAGCTGTCCAGAGGACTACAGCGAGACAATCCCTGAGGCAGCTCTCGCCAGTTTTCCATAAGTCTCTTCTCCTGCTGGAATGGCCCTCAGGAGTGCAGAGGGGGATAGTAGATGAGAGCTAGGCTGAAGTAAGACTCTGATTTAGAATGAGCGCTATCAAAGTTCTCATCCCTGAAGACCCCTCAGCCATTCTGTGCCTTCTTCTGTGCCTGGTAATGTGGCATTAGCCAATGATGCCCACAGAGAAGTTTAATCACATCTGAGAACAAATAGCCCAATGGCCACCATGGGATGGTTTTATTATTGCTGTTAGTTGTCTGGGGAAACAGTAAATACCGTCTTACTCTATAATAAAATATCTTATTTAAAATTTTTATTAGAAACGTGGAACAGTGTAAAGAACAGTAGACTGAGATTGGATTTAAACTTTGCCTAGTTCTTGTACTTGAACAAGTACATGATTTCATTTCTCTAGAGCTACATTTTTTCACAGATCCTATGAAAAAAAACTGAAAAAAATTTTATGCTAAAATTACATATTTTATTTAAGGTTCCCAATAAATACTAATCTATAAGTGTTGAGTCTGGTTTAAGAAATTTTATTTCTAAATAGCCAAAAATAACATATACAAAAAAACATTGTAGAGCCTACAGGGTTTGGCAAAAGTAGATTTACAGTCATGAGTATGTGAAGCACAATTTATTCTTGTATTATTATTTAGTAATTATTGTACTACTTCCCATAGGAACAACTGTAAACCTACTTTTGCACCACCCTGTGTATGGGATGATCCAGATTGTAATGCCAATGCTCTTGTAAGAAGCACAGAGGCAACCAGAATGGCCTTTAATTTAATAGTGAGACAAGCCCAGTCGGGCGTGGCTCAGTGGTTGAGTGTCAACCTAGGATACAGGTGATTGGGGTTCGATTCCCGGTGAGGGCACATGCCTGGGTTTCAGGCAGCAGCCAATCAATGACTCTCTCATCATTGATGTTTCTATCTCTCTCTCTCCCTCTCCTTTCCTCTCTCTGAAATAAATAAAGATTTTTTTGGGGAAAAAAAAAGTAATAATAGACAAGAGAACCCTGAAGATCATTTAATTGGAAACTACCTAATTTTTGGCCAAATCTCATGCCATCATTTCTATGAGCTTTAGAGCTTATTCTATTCACTTTTTCTAAAGCAATTTAACAATATTTTAAGGAGTTAATCTCTATGAATTTGTTTCTGTTTTAATATTCTCCATCCATCAGGTTAAAAATAGAATATTTTTAGCTTTAAGAAAACAAAATTGATGGAACACTGTCAAGCTGATGAGCTGAACAGTCAACAGACCAAGCTTATCAGTAACATGCTTTCTCACCGCCTTCTAATTCCCCTTCCTGTGAAACTGCTCAGTGCTCACAATGTGAGCAGCAGCAACAATAACCCCCCGTCTCCTTCTGGAGACCCAGCCAGGACAAAGCAGGAACACTGGTGTGATTAAGAGGTTTGACAAGCACACTTTGGATACCTGTGCAATTTAGGAATCTGTCTTTCCTCTAACTCCCTGCCCCACCCCCCACCCCCAATTGGGTAAGGATTATTGTTTTGAGTCACTTGGTAAGCCAAGTGAATGAGACTGTGCTTTCATGCTTTTAGCAAGCACATGTCCCACATGTGGGACATCAGAGATGCAAGCGGTCAAAATGAAGAAGGCAACTCACGGGACACCCTCCTGTGAAAACAAGTCAAGCAAGTTCAAGATTCTGCTCTTGCGGAAATGGCAGTGTCCTTGGTTTGTTGGGGGATATTTTCTTTGATCAATCATTTACAATCAGAACAGTAAGTGTAAGGTCTTCAGAATTTTTAAATTGATAATTTATTGAGTGTTCTCTTAGTCTTTTGTCCTTTCAAGCTCTTCAGGGTTAGTTTTATTGTTTCATTATTGGTTCTTTCCGGTGAATGTGAACCAATAAGGCTGACTTACAACAGATAGAATAAACTTATTTAGCCCTGTGCATCTGGGTGAGCTGAAGAAGTGTCCCATGGACTCTCTGAGAAGTTACAAAACCAGTTATGAGTATTTAGACAGAGCAGGCTATTGTTGAAAGTAGATATATCATCAGTCCATTTCAATTTTCTTTCCCCCTTACCTGATGACACATAAAAAACTTGGGTATGCAAGTTAGGTTACTTTTCAAATACACCTTGTTCAAAACCACCTATTTTATGGAAAAGATGATGAATGTGTGGGCAATTCTTATTCAGTCTGTGGCAGCTTCCCCATTTGAGGAGAAAACATGAGATTACTGCTTACCCCATGAGCTTCCTTTGAACACTATTATATTATGACTGCCCATTGCTTTTGGCTAGAAACTTTTTTGTCTAAGTTGTATCCTGTCCTCCAGAATAGTAGCCAAAGGTAAAACAACATTAGCAGCTCAAGTCAAGCCCTGGCCACCTAAGGAACATTCAAGGCCTTTAGACCACAAGACACAGTTACCACGGGTTTTAGTTTTATACAGTGTGCAAGTTTAGAAGTTGTGTATTTAAAGCCAAACTTCTAAGTACTCGGGGTATGTTTTGGTCCTGGTATATCGTGTCTACCTTATTAGAAATCCAAGTTAAGACTGAAAGGTGTTTTTATTATGGGAGCTTACTGTACAGATCAATCTATAACATCCTGGTAAACTGAGATGGGTGTCATTACCATCTTTATTTTATGGATGAGCACATTGAGGCCCAGAAAGAATATATAACTTCCTCCAGATCACAGGGCTAATAAGTGCTGGAGCTGGTACTCTGATGGAGTGAATCAGGAGGCAGATGTCAGATGCTTAGGCCCTATATCTGATTTCCTTCCCCAAACAAATAAGACATTTGTAAACCACTGTGTATGAACTTAGTGACGGGGCGTTCATGACATTCTTCATATTGTTATAGACACACTATGATATTGCGATGCCCTAAATGAGCATGCAGTTCTAGAAGACAGTTATGAGAAAGATTTGTGTCCTAGGATAATCATCACATTATCATTAAAGTAAGTAGATGCATTAGGGTTTGAAGAACAGCTAACAGGACAGACATAAGGACTAGGAAAGTCTACTGAGAACAGAGAGACTGGCCAGAGCCAAGACCTGATGGTAGGAATATATATGCTATGTTTTGGCACAATGCAGATATT